TTTTTTTTTTTTTTTTTTTTTGGGGGGGGGGGGAATAAATATATATTTTGTGGATATGTGCTGCAAACTGTAACCAGTTTTTTTCTCTGTGTGTTTTGAGCTGCCATGTGAACTACAGGGGCCACTTAGCAGAGTGTTGAAGGTGGGGTTGGCACCAGGATCTTCAGAGAGCAGCTCCCCTCCCTAGAGAGAGTCTCCTGGGCAGGGGCATATGGGGCTGGGGAGCTCCCACGCTCTGCACCCACATGGGGACAAGGTGCCCTTAGAGATCATGCCAGCCCCGAAGGCTGGTTGCTGTCAGCTCCACAGCACCATCACCCCAGGAGGGGCAGCTTTTCATGCCCCCACGGATGCTGTCCTACAGGAACAGCCAGGCAGGAGCCCTGGATGGACCTGCCATTCCCAAGGTGGGAAGGGGTGGGAGGCAGGGACACAGCCACACCTGAGCCAGCGGAGAGGCAAAGGAGCCTGCTGACCTCAGGCTACAGCAGAGTGATCCCCCGCCTTGCAAGCTCCACTCCTCTGTCTCATATTCCAGACCTCCAGGATTTTTTCCTGCATCCAATCATTACCATCCCAAAGCCTCCCTGGAGGCAGGTAGCTGGCTTCTGATTTGTCTCTTTATCCCTTGCCTCATTCTTAAGTGGGGGGAGGGAACCCCCTAAGCCATTAGTTTATTTCTTGTTTCTTTTTCTTGGGGAAAAAACCCAACCTTTCTTGTAAATAGCCAGTTTTGGACCTGTCTGTGCAGGGGAAGCCACGCGGGGAGCTTTGGAAGCTGCAAGACAGAGCCACTGCCTAGAAGATGTAAGAAGCCGGGGAAGAATCTGGCCTCTGGGAGTGGCACTGGCTTTGTGCGTGTGTGTGCATGTGTGTGTGCAGCCTCCCACTCCAGCTGCAGCTCTCTCTTTTTTTTTTTTGGATGCTGTGCTGTTCCCTTTCTGTGAAATGCTTTTTTGGTTGAGAGAAGAAGAGATGTCACATCAGGAGCTAACCCAGCGACTAACTACAGTCATCACTCATGTGGGTAAGGGATCTTTTTCTCTCCCCTCCACCCCTTTTGTGTAGATATTAAGGATCCCATCCCTTTACCCCCTCCACAGCCTGTAACACTACATAGGGCTGTGTCACACCTCCCCGCTTGTGGGGTAGGTCAGAGCCCCCAGTGACTTGCAAAAAAAACCCTCCCGGTTTACAGCATCAGAGAGCTCCCAGTGGGTGGGTTTCTCTTTCCAGCCTACAGTTCTTTGTTATGACAAAAAATGAACCAGCTTTATTGAGAATTGATTTGCAGTGAATCTCCCAGGGTAATGAATTTTGCCCAGGAAATGCTCTTGGGTGGGGGATAGCTCAGGGGCTCTTATGCCAGGGGTAGTGCTAGCAGTCATGGCAATGTCTAGGGAAGGGGAGATTGCAGGTAGGTAAAACATACCTGTGAATTGATTTGAACTGGTTTCCATTCTCCTGCACTGTGATGCGGGCTGGGGGAAACCTGGGAGACTTTTCTGTGCAATCCCAGCTCTTGAAAAATATGTATTTGGATATATAATAGATGTTACTGTCTAAATGCTCGGGTGATTCCCTGAACCTGAGGACTAGTGGGAATCAGGTAGCTAGGCTTTCTCCCCAGTCTCAGGTGTTGGCAATGATGAGCAAACTACCAAAAAACTCCCCATTAACTACTTCACCTGCATTGTCTCCAAGCATGATTTTTTTAAACAGACAATTATAGTCAAATTAATAAGACAGAGCAAGAGGGTAAAATGCAAACAGTCCCATGCTTTTTTTTTTTTTTTTTTTGTACCTGTCTGTATGCATACAGCCAAGTAGAAGCTGGTTGCCACACTGTTAAATCAGTTAAGGAGAACATTTTTAATTAAATTAGCATGGAAGCAAATGTTTATGGTGGTCAATTTCTTTAATAGAGTAAGTGCTGTGTTGGCAGAAGCTGTTAAACAGGTCACTGAAACACATGTGCACTCTTGACCTTGCATATTGTATGTATTAAAGTAGTGTGAGTTCAGAGCTTGGCTTTTGGGTAATGAACAATGAATGCTTTAGGTCTAGAGGTTTCCACAGATTTGCTGCCTTTTTTTTTTAGCTAGAGAAGCTGAAAGTTCAGGAAAATAGTATTTGATGGTGTTTGTGTGCTGATTATTGCAGCATGTGGATTTAAAGAGCATTGACATTATTCAGTGGATGCTCAGAGATTACTCGAGTCCCTGAAAAACTGTTAATACAAAAGGTGGGTGGGTCCTCCTCCTCTTTTGTGGCTCAACATGAAGGGCAAGACAACAGTATGTTACAGAAGTGGATGCATTCATGGATTTTTAGGGACTTGAATAGATGGGACAGAATCTGGCCCTAGGTAGCCAGCACTGTAGCACCCTTTCCTGGGGCTTGATGTGCTGGTTGGTGTCTGGGTATACAGGACAGTTTGCAGGTTCCTATCCTTAGACTAGAAGGACCTTGAGATGGTTTCATGAGACTTCCTGCATAATCATTTTGGAAGATTTTTTTTTTAGAAGATTCTTACTTTCATTTTGAAGTATGCGTTCTGCTTTAGCACTGGGATTTCCAAAGAAGCATCAAGGATTTATGTACCTTTTATGTCCCCCCTTCTCTACCACGCTCACTGGAAAACCTGGTTGCTGAAATGATCACTTAAAACCTTCTCTTCCCAGTTTGAAGTCTCTTATATGACTGAAAACCAATACCAGACTAGGTAAAAAGCAAATTAGAAATATATTAGCCTCAATTTGGCTATTTTGGAAAGGCACTTTGCATTCTTTATCAAAGGAGTCCATAGCCTTTCTCAAAAAATAATGAACCTTCACACCCACTTCTGGCAGGCAAGGACATATTCTCTCCATGTGACCCACACCCAGAGGAGTTCAGTCTACTGTATTCTTCAAGGTCACACAGCAATTTGGTGTCACTGATGGAAAACACCTTGGATACTAAACCCTGCTCTGCCTGAGGTCTCTGATTTGACGTACTCTAGGAGCTGTCCTGCTTTCCCCAGCCATTCAGACACAATCAGACATTACTTTTGAAATAGGTGGCTCACTTGTATGCTAAAATACTGTAATCAAAACATTTGTACAAAATATCAACCTGATTAGCTGAAATAGCGATTTCTATTACCCCCAATAATAATAAAAAAAACCCATACCGCCCTGGAGTGATGCACCATTTTCTCTGAATCACACGTTCTAACGTGAGTCATGTTAGCTGAATCAGCAGCAGCTTATTAAAACAAAAAGGCTTTTGATGGTGGCTGTTGTGGTCTTTTAAAAATGCAGTTTCAGGGCACTGAGAAGCCCTGAAAGCTCTGATGAGTACAAAGGCTCCCACCCCAGGCAAGAGCAGGACACCAGTCATTATTCTTGCATGCAACAGTGATTTCTCTTTCTGTATCATCTTTTATCCCAAACAGACCTAAAGAACCATGCTTGCTATGGACACTTGACACCCACTAAGCATGTCTACATGTGCATTAATGGACCTTTTCTAAAGCACTTTAAATTTAGTACCTCCAATGTGAGGTACTAAATTAATGTGCATTATGCTGTGCTAATGTGCAGTAGCACATTTGCACACTTTTTGTGATGCTTAATGCACAGTAGACTGTTTTACTGTGCATTAGCATAATGTCACAGTAAATAGTCTACTGCTCATTAAAGTGCACATATAGACACTCCCAATGAAATGCAGCCAGGTCTGGAGTGGAAGGGCAGTACTCAACCAGCCAAATATCAAAAAGTAGGGGAGGGGGACACTTAGACATAAGCCAGCCCCTTTTCTCCTCTCAAAAAGCACCCTGGACTCTTTAAATACAGATGTAAAACAGATGGGGTGGCAACAGGTGTTTAATACCTCCAAGGAGACTATGTGAAACCCAGCTGGCCTGCCTTGAAACACTGAGTTCTCTTTGAAAGAATCTAAGCATGTGGTGCCACAAAGTGGAAGTATTTCCATACCTGGGCCCCTGAACCTGCTATGAACCCTATTTAGATGGATCCCTGGACTGAGCCTTGGTAAAGTCCATGCATTAAAGGTCACTGCAGGATCAGCTCCTTCATGTGGCCTGCTTACCTCTGCAATTATTCTTTTGGTAACATGCATGTTGTAGAAGGCTTATGTTTTTTCCCCTCCTCAATGCCAACCCACAGAGGGCGGATCCTGATCTCTGTAATGCCACTATGGCTGCTTGTGTTGAGTGGGCTCACTCCTGACTTTCACCAGTGAGGAGCAGCTCAAAATCAACCCTAGGGTTTTGTAGAACAAGTACACTTTAGCAAGTAAGTCTCTACTTCCAACCAAGAGAACATGGCACAAGTCCCGAGAGCCTGTTACAGATTTTTTTTAAATTATTTTTTAATTTGTATCCAAGGCCAAATTAGCCAAAACTAATTCCAAATACAAGAGTCCAGAACCACAAGTGGCCCTACTACCAACAAACATCCTCCACCTGCACCTGGAGCTTCAGATGTTTCCAAAACCTCTGGTGGGCATCCTACTTGCAGGCGCTAGCTTGGAGGCTTGGGGTTCAGATGCCACCAAGTGTTGCTCACCTTCAGCCATATGGCCCTCGGAACAAGCAAGGGAAGAGACTCCCACAAACTGGGCTTAAGGCTGCTGCACCTTGGCAGGTACTGAATTACCCCAGAAAAGCAGTTCTCCTGCGAAGCAGTTCAGGAAAACTGCCTTCTTGGACAGAGATACATGGTATTTCCCCTGCCAGGTTAAGAAGCCCCTACGCTTAATCTAAGCCCTCAAGAGGCAGAATTTTTTTTATTTTTTTTTGTAAAAATATATGTCTATATGTCATATATATGTCTATATAAGGTTATATATATCTACACTCTGAGCATCACTCCACAAAGAAAACCTTAACCCATTACAAAAACTGCACCCATGAACCCGTACAAAGGCCGGCTGGCCACCTGAAGCCATTACAATATCCGCATTGCATGCTACATACACAAGCAACTCCTGGTCCCGAGCCACTGAGACGATCAACCACCTCCTCTGGCTCTGCACCTGCAGGCCATACAAGCTGTGACACTGATTTAGGATCTCATAGAACCACAGTGAGCTCATGATCCACCGTCTGTGGTTGGTCAGGGTGAACACCCCCTGGTATCTCAGGACGTGCTCTGCAAAATATCTAACCAGGCAAGTGGTTTTGGGTTCTGTGTCTATCACCAGCTTGCAGATCAGGCTTAGAAATTGCTTTTACATATTTTTCCTGAAACTCAGATCTTGGGAGGTGTTGAGCAATACTCATCACCTTGCAGGATCATGTTTTTTGGGGGTGGGCAAGAGACAGAGAGAGAAACCCACGCTCAGTGAGGTGTCTGTTGGTGACAGCGGGTATGTCTCTGTGTGGGAACTCTTGCTCTTCTGGCTTGTGAAACCCACAGAAATAAACTACACACCCACAATCCCACCCACACTTAGCAGTTAGTTGCCAGGGCTCTGATGCCAACTTTGCTGAGAGTGGGAAGAGCATTCTGGGCTCTGGTATGCAAATCAGCACCAGGTGCCTTGCTGCGCTACAAAGATTTTATCCCTAAAGCGACTTTTGTAATGAAACAAGGCCGCTGGCACAGACATAAGTCGTCTCAAAAATGAAGCAACAGAGTTGGGATCCTTTGTCTGCAGAAGAAACCTTGTTTGTTTTCAGCTGTACTGAGTATCCGCAGCCCCCTTGTCTTTAGGGGAAGCTGTGGCTGCTCCTTAAAATAAGGATCAGGTGCTTTGTTAATGGCCTGGGTAGAAGAAGTACTCATTACAAGGGATTTGCAACAGGCTTCACAAATTTGTGTACTTGTGGCACTTACAACTATTACCTGTAACCTTTCCTTGCCTTAGGTAGTAAGATTCTTATTTTTATGGAAACTGAGGCACAGATCTGCAAAGTGACTTGCCCAAGATGATAATGAGAGTCAGTGGCCGAGCCAGAGTCTCTTAGGCTTGTACATGAACTTCAGGGCATCATTGCATATAGTTTCAGGTTTC